TTACTATTTTTTTTTTTTTTCCTTTTTTTTTTTTTTTCCATTTTTTTTTTTAAGGAAAAATTGAGGGGCCAAATTTTCAATTTAAGGGAAAAAAAATAATGATAAGGAAAATAATTTAAAAAGGAAAAAAAAAACAAGGCAAATTTAATAATAATAATAATAATAATGATAATGATAAAAAATAAAGAAATTTTTTATTAATTTTTTTTTTTTTTTTTTGTCTTATTTTATATACAGAATTTTTTTTTTAAATTTTCAATATTATTATTATATATTTTAATATGGCGAATTCGTGACACGGTCATAAATTTAATAATAATAATATCGGTTTGGTTTTTTTTTTTTTTTTTTTTTTTTTTTTTTTTTTACGTCATTAAATAAAATGACGACGGTTAAAACATAATAATATTATTATTATTGATAAGGATGTAATAATAATAATGATCATACGAGAGAAAAAGATTTTTTTTTTTTTTTTCTCTTTTTAATTTTTACGAGTTGTAATAATTTTTTTTAATTAATTTGTTGTTAAATTTACAGTATCCAAATGTAATTATTAAGATTTTATTATTTAATTTTATTTTTTAAAAGATCTCTATATCAATAAAAAATATAATAGGTTTTATAATAATAATAATAATAATAATAATGAATATTTTTAATGTGAGTTTTAATAATATATAAAAATTGTTTTTTTTTTTTTTTTTTTATAACGACACCAATAATAATAAATTAAAATTTTTTTTGTCATCATATTCGAGGTTTAGATTTTTAATAAAATTAAATATTTTTTTTTTTTTTTTTTGGGAATAATTAATAATAATAATAATAGGTAGCTTAAATTTATTTATTGTTTTATAGAGCGAGTATTTTTTTTAAGGCACAAACAATTTAATCGAATTTTTTTTAATAACTGTATTATTTTATAAGTTGGAATTGTGTAGAATTATAGGTAAAAGAAAGAAAAAAAGTCATCACGAATTCAATAATTTTTGGATCTCGGCTAATGATTTACCCTTGGTTTCTGGAAAAATGAAATAAATGAAAAAAATGGCGACTATACAACACGAACCGAATATCCAGAACGTGTAATCGTTTCCTAATGTTTCGACAAAATCATTGAAAAAACGAGTTATTAGAAATGCCAAACCCCAGCAAAAACTTGATACTAATGTCGATGCTATCGATTTGACATTACTTGGAAACATTTCTCCCATAACAGCCCATGGAAGTGGTCCGAAACCTATAAAATATAAATACGACACGTGTGTAAGAGAGAGAGAGAGAGAAGATTTTTTCAATCAAAATAATAATTAAATAAATAACGTACCTATTGAATAAATAATTACGTATTCGACTAAAGAAACTAAAGGAAGAAAATTTATACTGGATGTGTCTCTTCCTGTTTTTTCCAGGTAAAAACACAAACCAATTATTCCCTATGAAAAATTTATTATATAAAATTAAAATTTTTTAATTAGGTTAATTATAATTTTAATTATTTTTATTAATAATCACTCACCTGAGCTGCAGCCATACCGGCAGCGGAAGTTATTAGCAAAACTTTACGACCGAGTCTGTCGACAACAAAAGGTGTTACAACAGATGCCAACAACATGATCAAACCTAAAATAATGGTTGATCCTTCCGGACTTATAGAACCACCTGCTTTTTCGAAAATTGTTTGCGAATTGAACAAAACGGCATTTATTCCTATTATATAAAATGTTTAATTTATTATTATTATTATTATTATTATTAATTTTTTAGATTTAGGTATTTAAAAAACAAAACCGATAATTAGATAGAACTGTGGATATATATATATAGAAACATAGTAAAAAAATTTAATCACCTGAAAATTGTTGGAAAGCCATTAAGCCAAGAGATATAATAAAAGCTTTTGTTGTACCTTTTGTGGCAAATAAATCTTTGATGGTACCACTTTCGCATTTTGCTTTTTCTACATTTGCCTAAAATATATATATTTTAAATAATGGATTTTTTCGGTAAACACGGCTTAGGAAAACATGAGGTAAGAGGTTAATATTGGTTATCTATTGTTTTTTAATAATTTTAACTACCAGTTTTATTTAAAATTTTTTACCTCTTATTAGGTTAGGATAAATAAATACCTGAATATCTAATAGTTCGCATTGTGCTTCGTCATCGAATCCACCTCTCAACCATTCTAATGATTTTTCCGCTTCGTTTTTTTTACCGATACCCAAAAAATAATATGGAGATTCGGGCATTTTGAAAAAAATAATTGCAAATATTATCGGTAGAAAGGCAGCTCCTATTGAAAGCCACATAAAAGGCACGTAAGGTCCTATACAGTAGTCGAATAATAAACCGACAACTATAAAAGGTTGTGATAGAGACAATATTGCACCTCTGACAGATTTCTATAACATTAAAAAAAAATTGACTCGTTATCCCGGTTAATACTAAATTTAAATATGTATAATGATAATAATAATAATAATATTACATGTGCGATTTCAGCTAAGTACATAGAAATAACGGTAAATATCCATCCCACAACGAAACCTGCTAAAAATCTTGCGAAATATATCGTTTCGACCGATTTGGAAAATGCAAGAGCTATCCAAGAAACTAAAGTTGGTAACGCTGAAAAAAGTAAAGTGTTTTTCCTTCCAAATTTTTCAGCTACATATCCTGGAAAACAATCAAATTGATTCATTAAGATAATTTTTTATTTATTGATTCTCTAATTAAATTATTAAGAAGCGTCACCTGCAAAAAAAGGACCGAAAATAGCACCGAGTGGCATAAGTGATGCCATCCAACTATTTTGAAGTTTTGTTATCGGAATCGGTGAATCTGGTCCCTCTAAAATGGGTAGAGATGGTGACGTCCATGCTATTATCGTACCCGTTATCGTACTTGCTAAATTGGCTATGAAAAAAAAAAAAAAACGAACGGATTATAATTACCTGATTGTGAAGTTTTTCTTGTATTTTTTTTTTTTTTTTATTGATAATTACCAGAAAAGCCAACCATTAATTGTCGATACATTTTTGGTTTTTTATCAGGATTTTGAAATTTTTTCACAGTCTGATTTTCTATTTCTTTTTGCTCTAATAAATACCCAGACATATTTCAAACCTATTGAACGATTTGAAAAAATCCTAAAAAATAATAATAATAATTCATTTTGGTTTTTTTTGTTTAGTTTTCATTGTTCTCCATTGTACCAAACAATCAGGAAGACTAAGAGGTTATCATAATAATACTAAGAGGTAACAAAAAAAAAAAAAAAAAAAAACGTGTTATATCAATTTTACTTTAAAAAAATTATTCTTTAGTTGTTTTCTAACAAAAAGTTTTTTTTTGTTTCAGGTATTGAAGAGGAAACAAAAACAAAGTATTGGATAGAAAACTATTTTGTTTATATTCGAAGGTAACTAATCGATTTAAAATAAAAAAAAAATATATAATCAGTATCGTGTATGTATGTATGTGTGTGTGTTAATAATGATAATATTTTTTTTTTTGTTTCGTCAATAACGTTTTTTTTTTTTTCATATTATCAATAATTTTATTAACGATAGTAATTTCTTATTACTAATAATATTATCTATTAATAAGGTCATCATCATCATCATCATTGAAGTAAAAAAAAAAACAATTAAATGCTTCCTAAAACTTAAAATTAATTAATTAATAATTTTATTTATTTTTTTTATAATAACTAAAATTATTAAACCTTATTAATTTTTTTTTTATTTTATTTGGCAGGTGATAACGTGTGGTACATGAATAAAATAATAATAATTATCGATTAGGAATCAATCAATCGGTGAGTTATTAATTAAAATTTTTTTTTTTTTTAAATCCATATCGTGATAACCTAACGTTTACGTACGTATCGAGAAACAATAATAATAATAATAATAATAATTAATAATTTTTTAAATCGAATTCGTTACACAATTTTTTTATTTATTTTTTTTTTGTTTAAATACAAACGAATCGATATATAGATATATATTTATTAGTTCAACGTAAATACTTTGAACTTTGATCTTTAAGTAAAAAACATTTTTAAAAAATTATCAAAAAAAAAAAAATTTAACAAAAAAAAAAAAAAGAAAAAAAAATGCAAATGAAATTTATTACAATGTGGCATTCAAAAAAAAAAAAAAAATAACTATCGAATGATAATGATAATAATAATTTATTAAGAATCTTTCTTATTATATAAAACAATAAGAAAACGATTGATTAAACGCATT